GGCACAGGGAAAGGGCCATCATGCAGCTCTGGATTCTGGATTCTGCCAGGAATAACCATTTCCCTCGTGCCAGCACCACAGGGATTTCTTGCCAGAGCAAACCTGCCAGGGTGGTTTGTGGGGCAGTGTCTCCCATCACTCAGCACGGAGCTTTGCTGATCCTTGAGGGCACAGGGAAGGGGCCATTGTGTAGCTCTGGATTCTGGATTATTCAGGAATAACCATTTCCCTTGTGCCAGTGCTAGAGGGATTTCTTCCCAGAGCAAAACCTGCAGGGTGCTTTGTGGGGCAGTGTCTCCCTGGGCTGTCCCAGTCCTGAGCTTTGCTGCCCCTGGAGGGCATAGGGAAGGGGCCATGGTGCAGCTCTGGATTCTGGATTATTCAGGAATAACCATTTCCCTGTGCTGGGCAGCACTGTGCCAGCACCACAGGGATTTCTTCCCAGAGCAAAACCTGCCAGGGTGCTTTGTGGGGCAGTGTCTCAGTGACTCCCAGCACGGAGCTTTGCTGCTCCTGGAGGGCACAGGGAAGGGGCCCTGGTGCCCCAGCCCCCAGGCAGCTCTGGGGCCCCCATCCACCCCCGTGTCAGCTGTCGGAGCAGCCCCTGCGGGTGCAGAGCTTGGCAGGGCCCCTGAATGTCAGCATTGACGTCACCCGAGCATTCCCTGCGTTCCTGCTGCCACTGCAGGAAATGGGGCTGAGCAGCAGGGCCAGCCCCACAGCCCTGCTGGCCCCAGACCCCTGCACCCTCCCCGGGGCTCCCCTCGTGCCTCTGGGAGGGGATGTGGCTCTGGCAGGTCTCAAATACCTGCTACATCTCTTCCTCCTCCTCCTCCTCCTCCTCCTCCTCCTCCCTTGCAGTCTCTGCAGCACTCAGTGATCACCTGCTGCCTCTGAGTCATCAGCTGCGGGTGCCTCTGGCCGGATCCTGCAGTGCTGTGTCCCTGCATCGTGCCCACACTCCCTGGCAGTGCCACCCTCGGCATGCAGCTCCCACCCCTGCCCCGTGGGGGATGCTCAGCCCTGGGTGTCCCTGCTCAAATCACACCACGGTGATGCAGAGGCTGCCCAGAGGGCTCCTGGCACTGACATCTTGTATGAAAAATCCTTTCTTTCTTTTCTGAGAAGCTGAGAGGCCTCAGGAACAAAAGGTAAACAGTGGTTATCTGCTGCTGTGGAATGCAACAGGTAGATTTGTAATTAGTCTCACACAGTTGTTTCTAATTAATGGCCA